AACACGGTCACGATCTGCACTGCACAGGCTATCCTCAACTGTAGTTCCTCCAGCTTTTCTCTCCGCCTCCAGAATGGCTGACATAACCACAGCCAGCTATGTCCACACCTTTTAAAGAGGAACTGACATACAAAGAGCCATACCGAGGCTCACTTACTGACGTGGAATCCCCACATCCCGTCTCACAACAGAGAAGCCCCAAACCCGCATCATCCACGAAGGCGGCCAATTAATGCTCTTGCCTTATACAGGGTGACGTTAGAGGCGTGGGGGAAGTGCAGCGTGGCCACAAACAGGTGCACATAGTCACTGTTGAGTCCACCCTCGTAAATATTCTCTGCGATGATCTTGCTGGCGAAGTTTTTGCCCGTGCCTGTCCACCCGTGCAGAGAGAGGGTAAGGGGCTTCTTGGGCTTCGGGTTACTTAGGAAACCAGACACGGCGTTTAAGATGACTTTCTTTGCAAGATGCTGTCCAAAGAGCTTGTTATCCAGATCCTTCTGCAGTGCTGGGAATGGAAAGATCACTCTGGTCAGGAGAGAAGCAAGTAGGTAAAATGAAGCCCCGTTTCCAGGCTGTCAGAGCCCCGAGCCTAGTGTGGAGAGCGCTGAAGGACCCTGGTGCGGCGAACCCTGCCCTTCCTAAGGCCTGGGCTTGGGGGTGTTCCCAAAGCCAAGCGGAAGGAAGAGACGCGGTGAGGCCGCCCCGGTGAGCTCCGCGCAGGGCTGACACCCTACCCCGGGCCCGGCAACTCATCTCTTAGGCCTCGGACCAAAATCCGGCCTGGCCGCGGCACCATCCCCCTGCCGCCTGGCGCCCGTCCCTGGTGCCCGCCTACCCTCCCGGCTGAGGCTCCGCTTCTGGCCGCAGCACTCGGCAAAGAGGCAGTAGAGGCGCGGGTAGGAGATGTAGCCGGTGAGTACGCCGGCCAGGGCCAGGCCCAGGCTGATGGGTTCCACCGCACGAACCGCGCACGGCGCCAGCAGCAGCAGGGCCAGTGAGGCCCGGCCTAGCTTCATGCCCGGACCCGCGCCGCTTGCGCGTCCCAGCGCCCACCTTACCCAGCGCACCGCCCAACGCGCGTTTCCGGTTCCTGCCTGCGGGACAGCCCTCTTTGTCTCGGGCAGGCCGTCCAACCAATGTAGCGGCTGCCATCTTTGTTAAGGGTAAAGCTCTTCCTGCCTCTGAACCTTGAGGTTATAGGAGTCAGGTGTATTTGCTTCCCCCACCCTCATCAAATAACAATATTTTAGGGCAGTTTTTAAACAATGACGCAGGCATCTAATGAGGTGCACATAAACTCCTGTAGGCATACACAATGTATAAATGAATACATAAGAACTGTGAGAATATAATGAGTTCCCATATGACAACCCCATCCCCACCTCTGGTTACCTATTATTAAAATCTGACATTTGGTCAAGGTGCTATGGGTGGTGTGCGCCTTTAATCCCAGCACTCTAGAAGCTGAGGCAGGTGAATCTGTAACGAATTTGAGGCCACCCAAAGATACATAGTAGACATTTGAAGGCTGGGTATTTTGGCACTCTGAGTTGGAGTCACCCTGGCCTACACAGCAAATTCTAGGGGCAGCCAGGGTTACACCGTGAGAGCCTCCTTTCTAAAGAAATAAAAATTTGACATCTGTATATTATACTTGTTAAAATCCATGAACCACTATATTTTTGTTTGTTTTTGTTTTTCGAGACAGGGTTTCTCTGTGTAGCTTTGGAGCCTATTCTGGCACTCGCTCTGGAGACCAGGCGGGCATCGAACTCACAGAGATCCACCTGTCTCTGCCTCCCGAGTGCTGGGATTAAAGGCGTGTGCCACCAACGCCCGGCTTTTTTTTTTTTTTTTTCCCCCGACAGGGTTTCTCTGTATAACAGCCCAGGCTGTCCTGGACCTCTCTCTGTAGGCCAGGCTGGCCTCGAAATCAGAGATCCGCCTGCCTCTGCCACCTAATGCTGGGTTGAGGGCGTGCACCACCACCGCCCCAACCACTATATTAAAGCCCACACAGTTCATCCAGTTTCTTACTTACTTAGGGAACCCATCTAGCTCCCCCACAGTGCTGATTCCCCAACTCCTCTTGGATTCTTCCGACACTTGCCTTGTTTTTTAAATGACTTTGAGAGTTTTGAGGAACACTAGACACTTGGGGGACACTGGGATGAACCCCAGGGCCAAACACTATCATGGAGCTTTACCTCAGACCTTCTACTTCTTGTTTTATTTCATTTTAAAAATTCTTTGAGGTGGGAGAAACAGTGGATGACAGGATTTAGACTCAGGTCTGTACAAGAATGACTCTTAACTTGTTTGCCATTTCTCCAGCCCCAAACTTTGTTTTGAGGTAAAATCTTTATAACTATTCCAGACTATCTTTCAACTTCCTATATAGTGCAGGCTGGTTTTGAATTTGCAATCATCCTGCCTCAACCTCCTAGGTTCTGGAATATAGGCAAGGCTTTTTGTTGTTTTCATTACTGGGGATTGAACCTTGGGTCCTTTGCTTATAGGCTACACCACTGAGTTATACTCTCATCCGAAAATCTTTGTAGATTGCCCCTCTATTGGAATTTGAGGGTTTTCCTCATCATTAGACTAGGGTCCTGGGGTTCTGGAAGGGGGACTGCCAATGTAAAGTGCTATTTCCACCACATCCTACCCAGGGTCACATTGTCAGCATGGTTTGATTGCTGACACTGAACTTTGCTGAAACAGTTCTAATTTGCTTTCAATTACTATGATAAACACCATGACCAAAAGCCACTTATGGAAGGAAGGGGTTTATTGCATTTTACAGGTGCAGTCCATCATTAAGGGAAGCTAATTCGGGAAGCAAGGTAGGAACCTGAGGGTCTAAAATGAAGAGCCCATGGAAGAACAATGCTTACTAGCTTGTTGCTTTTGGTTTGCTCAGCTACCTTTTGTAGGCAGATTTTTCTGTCCTGCCTGTCAGCTCCCAAATAACCACATGGATACTTTATGAAAGCCAATAGACATGTTTCTAATTAGCTCTTACAACTTAAATTAGCCCATTCCTATTAATTTATGTGCTGCCACGTGGATCATGGTTTGTTAACCTCATCTCCTACGTGTCCTGCCTCCTCTACATCTCCTTACAACTCCACCCTTCTTTCCAGCATCCTCTGTGCCTGGAAACCGTGCCTGGCTATTGGCCATTCAACTTTTTATTAAACCAATCAGAGTGACACATTTCACAGTGTACAAAGAGATTACGCTATAATAACCTTTCTTTTTTTTAATTTATTTTATGTGCATTGGTGTTTTGCCTGCATGTATGTCTGTGAGGGTGTCAAGTCCCCTGGAACTTTGAATAGTCTTGGCTGTCCTGGAACTCAAGAGATCTGCCTGCATCTGCTCCTGGGGGCTGAGATTAAAGGTGTGTGATACCATGCCCTGTCCATTTTTTTTTGTTGTTTTTTTTGTTTTTTTAAACCCAGGCTGTCCTTGAACTCTTTATGGAGAATGAATACCAAGCAGTTTACTGTGGTAACAGGCCAAGCACTGCCAAATGGGCCTTACTGGATGTCCCATGATCCCTCTGACATATATCCAACCCCTGAGATCTCAAAATCCTGCCTGTTAGTGGAAGTATAACAGGCCCCCAGACCTTAGTACAACTGACTCCCTGATGGAAGTACCATTCAGGCTATAAAACTCAGCACATAGACAGTACTACCTGCCAAAATAAAAAGACAGAACAATCAAAGTCTCAAAATGTACTAACCTTGCTTTTTGGCTTCTGTAGTTTTGCTTCTGGCTAACTGTTCTTGTAAACTTAAATATGTGAACCTGGGACATGTTTTTTTTGTGTGTGTGTGTTTAAAAGTTCACCGAGTGGGGCAGTGGCACTTTTAATCCCAGTGCTCAGAGGCAGAGGCAGAGGCAGGCAGATCTCTGTGAGTTTGAGGCCAGCCTGGTTTACAAAGCTACAAAGAGAAACACTATCTCAAAAAGCAAAAAACAAACAAACAAAAAAGTTCATCCTGAGAAAAGGCTCAGGGCTACACTGAGATCCTGATCCGAGTGATGTCGATAGCTGATAAAGACTGTCTATTGGCTTGAACCTGTCTGAGCAGTCTTCTATGGTGAGTGCCCAGTAACAGAAGGAAACACAAGGCAAACAGGAAGACTGGGCCTAGTATGTATTTAATAATTAAATTCTAAAAGAGACAACTTTTCATGTTCTTTTCTTTATTCGCCTGCTTCATTATGTAGCCCTAGATGGCCCAGAACTCAGAGATCTGCCTCTGCTTGCTGAGTGCTGGGGTTAAAAGGCTGTGTCATGCTAGGCTGCTTTCCTTTCCTTTCCTTTCCTTTT